TTCTTTTTTTATTATTATTATTTTATATATATATATATATATATATATATATATTTTTTTTTTTTTTTTTTTTGCAGTTCTGGCTTGCCAAGTCCTTGCTGTTGTGTTAAAAATATATTTTTTTAAAAAGACGCCGAGAGAGAGAGAGAGAGAGAGAGAGAGAGAGAGGAAGCCACGTTGGTGTATACATGACGGAAGGTTCTAGATAAACCTGCCCTCACCAGTTGAAAACATCGAAGATGAATAATCCACTGTTTAGAAAGCAAGCAAAGGTCGATTTTCACGCTAACCGCGCCGTACGAGGCAACGTGCATCCAGTCGATTCAGGCGTGTTGCACAGTCGAGAGGGAAAGGACACGCGATTCTGGCCCCACTTTACCGCTGTGTGCTGTTACGTTACAGAAAGTACTACTATAAAAAGACCTGCTTTCTACTCTTGTTCTGACCAAGGGCTTTTCATGCTTTTTTTTTTTTTTTTTTTTTAAGTCTTATCGAGCTCTTCTCATTGCAGTACATGCCGAAGGACCATCAGACTAACTTTAAACAACAACGGGAAAAAAAAAAAAAAAACAGCCCGGGCTCCCAAACAAACATTAGTTTTTAGCACTAGTTGTTAACAGTTTTATTATGCCCACATATATCTCATAATTCTTGTTCAAGTGGTCTCTTAATGCCAAATACACCATAAAAGATCTCTCTCTCTCTCTCCTTCTTTGCTCCTTTCTCTCCACGAGTAATGGGCGCAGATGAAATTGTGACCTAAAGCATAATAATAAGGCAGTTTTCCGAATTTCCCGAATACAAGCAGGCGCTAATACCATCACGGAAGAGGACAAATCGAGGAGGCAGGAATTAGCCTGAAGTTCCTGTGTCACTTTACAGCACGGCTTTTAATGAGCCATCATCCGGGAGCTGCCACGGAGATGACGAGCCACCCGTGCTGCGCAGTAGAGCTGCTCTTTTTATCCCGTAAACAGTATAAGTCAAATAGTTTCATAAATAGCAGTCAGGGTCTTCTAACGCGTCCCATATCCTCAAGTCATTTCTGGTGGGCGCACGTCCATGTAGGTAATATCGTCGATTCGTTACGGGTGTCGGTTTCCCGTAAGGAGACGATTTTATTGAACCTTTACGGAAGGAGTCTCCGGTTCCAGTCGGCGCGAACGTGCTCGAACGTGAACGTTACAACCCAACTGATATCCAGACATGGGAAATTGTCACGTATAATTAACTACTTAGCATTTAAGATGCTAATATCTGTATCAATATACAGTACAGATGGACAGATTCATCGGGACACAGCGTTCACATTAATACAGCGTAATGGTTTCAGTTTAAAAAGCGCGAGTAACATCATCATCATCATAATAATAATACAATGAAGCATAGTTTTGTCCCATTTTTTCACATATACAACACTTTTCGTTCCATAGCGGCCGGCCAAAGGCGACGTGAAACAGACATTTATTTTAATTTTTTTTAAAAGTGTATTCTTTCTCATGTATTTGTTGAATATGTCAGGCTCTTGTTAAAAGAGGGGGGAGTGGGTGTCAGAGGTAGAATGGAGTTACAGCAGATGTGTCCAAACCATGCGTGCAGGTTGTTGTCAATCAGACCACTCCCCCCCCCACACACCCATCACCCCCGCGCTAATCTGCCACTCGTTTGCTTCCGAGGCACCTGTGTCAAGGACGCATATGTCGGCGGTGGAATTAGGCAAAACCGCTCGCTCTTTTGTCATGTAAAATGGTGCAAGAAAATCTAATTGGGCGGAGGAGAGGGAGAGAGTGATGTCTCCTTTGTTTAAGGGTCTTCCGCTGGACCCACAATAGCATTAATTTGTGCCCCCGGCCCGAGTTCTTTCCTTTCTTCAGCCTCTCGGTGCAGTCAGCTCCTGTCCGTTCCACTCTGTCTCCATGCTTCACCTCCACGCTCCAGCAGAGCCCGTGAGGAAAAGCGGGAAAGGAGCGAGGAGGGGGGCACCAAAATGGAAGCTCCTTTCTCCTATTACTTTATGCACCCCTGCCTATTTCTTATTCCACCCCATTAAAGAAGGAAGGAGAAAAAAAAAAAAAAACGGCAAATTCTTTAGCGCTTTTGTCTGCCGACTATTTCCCGCCTCCAGAAAAGTATTTTTTCTCTCTCTCTCTCTATCTCTCTCTCTCTCTCTCTCTCTCTCTCCTGCTTTCTCTATCACTTTCTTAAATATTTAAACGTACCAAAATCCATTTCTCTCTCTCTCTTTCTCTCGCCCGCTCTCTCGCTCTCTGTAGCAAACGCTATCTGATTTTAGGATTGCGGTATTTTAATGGAAAATTATTTTATTGAGTGTGTTCAGAAAGTTCTAGGTTGATGTTTTAAGACGGGATGGAACTTGTAATAACTCGTAATGATTGAGCGATAAACGGGCAGCTGGATTTCATGAGTCCTCCACGAGCACCACCGAGAAGAAGAGAACCATACTGTCTTAGTCCTAAGGGCTGCGTCCCTCCCGGAAAAAACAAAAAAACAAAAAAAAAACCCCAAACCCCAACAAAACAGTCCAGAGTGTATCACAGTAGTCGACCAAACAGACTTTGGCGAGTGTGACAGATGCTCTGGCTTTGTTTCACCGCCAGATCTTTTATTCTCATGCCTAAAAGGCGTGCGCTTTATACTTTCAAATACCTCCTCATACTCCCTTCAGTCTGCATGCAGTTCAGTTCCTCTGCGAATTGCAAGGGGAAATAAATAAATAAATAAATAAATAAAATAACCTGACGCTTTACCTCGGTGCGCGTACGGCAGTCAGTGTGCACTTGAGATTGAACTAAGACGAAGACATGATGAGGAAAATAATCACTGCGTATAGTGAGCCGTGAGTCTGAGGGGTATCAGGGTTCAGTGTTGCGAATCACACAATTATGCAAGTAACAAAACACTCCATGTCATGCAGGTATAGTAAAATAATCAACGATGCAGCCCGGCTCCGTGCGGAGATACCGTCTACCTCCATGTTGTTCTTACTTTCATATAATAGCAGCATGTCCCGAAGTGTTTTATTCCTCTTATACCACTTCCCAACGATTGGACCATTCTGTTAATTAAAGAATGATACGCCATAGTTTTTATTCCTTTACTGTAGAGATGCACCGATGTAAAGGCTATTTTTCCCCGCTAAGGGCCTGTTTAAGAACATCCGACGATCAGGGCCGATGATATCCTGTCAATCAAAAGAGGGCGGGGAAAACGCGTGGATTCCAGTGCTGTGTGTGAAGACGATGTCTCTCGTGTGGAATGAGGACAAAACTGCAGCTTGGAATTTACACCGGAAGTGAGCGGCAGTGAAGCGGGAGTTTCGGCGTCGAGTCGATTGACCCCCCCCCCCACACACCCTTCTCGCGCTGAATTAAAGCTGCCGTACGCCGCCGAAAGATTTAAATGAAGATGACTTGACAAAAAGGTTTAATATATTGCACATTTCTCGAGTAGTACATTTCATATCCGGTTAACGTTAATATATAAACAAACATCATGTATATTATATATCACCGGTTTGATATTTGACAAATCGCAACTAATCACGTGACTGAGCAAGCACAAACTCGTCTGTCCCGAAGATGTCCGGACACATAAAGTCACAGCTTTGCCTCTCTCTGTTACGGAGCGCTGACACTGGAGACTCCTTCCGTAAACGACGGATTTCGAAATCTGTCCGTGCCGAGCGTCCGCCGTGCGAGTCCGTGTCGAACGCCGTGGCGTTGGTACAAATTCGAACGACTTCCGACCGATCGAGCAGCCGCGTCAGAGCGACATCCTCGCGTTCTGCTCGACGCACATCTCCGTCGTCGACTCCGCACGTGCCGACTGAATAACGACTAACCTCATCATATTTAGAGCTGGATTAATGGCCCACATGCTTTATGCATGTGTAATCGTGCGTGATGAAAACCAGGCCAAAGTTACGAACCTGTGCACAGTCCTGTGCACATTAAAATGTCCTTTACTCTCTCTCTCTCTCTTCTCTCTCTTTCTCTCTCTCTTTTTTTTTTTTTTTTGCGCTAGAAAGGTCATTCATAACTTGGTTGCGCCGGTGATGTACAGTGAGAGATATTGATTGATTAATGCATAAAGTGCTCGGAATCCATTTGGCTCCAGTGAGAGTGGGTATGAAGAGAAGGTTTGCACTTCTCTCTCTCTCTCTCTCTCTCTCTCTCTCTCTCTCTCATTCTCTATATTTTCACCTTCCCTATTGTTTGACGGGGCATCATTTTTCGCCGGCTGGTTTTTTTTTTTTTTTTAAGGGACAAAAGCCCTGTTTCAGCCAAGTAATGCATTCAAAGGAACATTGATTCTCATCAGTGTCAGTTGAATTACTCTCAATGCCTTGACAAGGAGCCGCTCTTATATTAACCTCGCACTTTTTCTTGTCTCGGAAATAATTTAAAGCTCGCTCCTAAGAGAAGGAGTGGATTACCTTACGGTCCGTCCCTCAAAACAGTCCACTTTTCGGCCGCCGCGTGAACGTCTGACTGCCGCTTTAATCATAAACGCCGTCCCGTGCTCGTCGCAGCGCTCCCATTCACGATCTTATACTCGTACTTAACATCCTTTCGTTTTCAAATAGGGCTTGATTTGACTCTTCTGCACCTGTGCACTGTAATGATTTATGAATCCCGGGCTCCGGTGTCACCCAGAAGAGGACGGGTTCGCTTTTGAGTCAACGGTTTCTTCTTGTTTGTCCATGAGGGATGTAAATCTACGTGGGAGTGGTTCTGTAAAGCTGCTTCGCGATAATATCATTTGTTTAAAGCACTATAAAAACAACAAATACAACTGAATTATATTCTCCCTTCGCTTAGAATTTACAGTGTCTTGGACCAGACTCAGCATCACGGGCGGACAACCGGGGAAGCTGTCCCAGGTCCAGGAAGGTTTAGTGGTCCTTTAGAGCGCAGAATGAAACCGTCTGACCATTGTCGAATCCGAGACGAGTCCCGAGGTCAAGGTCATTGGGTAGTGGTAGGTTAGTCAGTGGTGAAGATGTTGGACTGCTGATCAGAAGGTTGTGAGTTCAAATCCCAGCATTGCAATTCTGCTGTCCTGAGCCCTTAACCGACGACGGCGCGGTTGTGTCAAATTCCATAAATGTCAACGCCAAGCTCCATTTTGGTCTCATCTGACCACAACACTTTCACCCAGTTGTCCTCTGGTGGTCAGATGAGACCAAAATGGAGCTTTTTGGCATCAACTCAACTCGCCGTGTTTGGAGGAGGAGGAATGCTGCCTATGACCCCAAGAACACCATCCCCACCGTCAAACATGGAGGTGGAAACATTATGCTTTGGGGGTGTTTTTCTGCTAAAGGGACAGGACGACTTCACCGCATCAAAGGGACGATGGACGGGGCCATGTACCGTCAAATCTTGGGTGAGAACCTCCTTCCCTCAGCCAGGGCATTGAAAATGAAAAGTCATTACTAAGTCATTACCAAGTACTAAGTCATGTTTTGCAGAGGGGGTCAAATACTTGTTTCCCCTCATTAAAATGCAAATCAAATCCTAACATTTTAGACGTGCGTTTTTCTGGATTGTTTTGTTGTTATTCTGTCTTATTAGAGACGTTTTCTACAGGGTAATCTCATTCATGGAAGTTTGAGAAGAGAGGACGCGACTTGTTACGGCGTTTAGAAAGGGTTCGCGGTAAGCACGGCCGACCTGGTCTCGTCATGGCGCTCTGGTAACCCGTGATATTCGGAGCACGCTTTGGCGTTCATCGGTGATGTTAGCACAACAATCGTATATAAACCGTCTCGTGAAGTCCTCGGTGTTTATTTTTTGTTTTGTTGTCTTTTGTTTTGTTTTTTTAAATCCTCCATTGTGAGACCTCGAGGCCTCCCAAACTCGACCTTGGGCACCTATTTATTTCGAGGCCAGGAGAAGGTTCCAGAGGCAGGGTTCTCAGCAGGATGCCTCATGAATGGAGCCACTTAAAGGCATCTGCACAGGGTTCGGGGCCTCATCCCAGTCATATCTCACCACTAGTACATCTTTGTGCAAGTAATAATGCACATGCTTCTTCCTGACACTTTATAGACTTTGGAGTGAGTTGCTCTGGACGTCCTTCAAGGTCATCACACTTTATATTTATATATATATATATATACACATACATACATAGAAATATTTGCATGTCCAGTTAAATGCAGACTGAAACATATTAACGAAACATTGCAGGCAGAAAAAGCAATATCCGAATTAACTTGCTTAAGCTCCGAGTGAAATTACATTAATGCTCCTTGGAACTGTCATTCCCCAAAATCCCATCTCCAAGAACTTTGCTTTGGGGGAAGAAAACACAATCGTATAATGGTATAGTAATTCATGCCGGCCAATGTTTTTCAAATGTTATAGTAATTATGAGAAATACTCTTACTTTCCTTTTCCGCACAGGCACGGGCGAGGCAAATCTCATTTTCAAGGCACGGGAAAGGAACACACTGAATAATCATTGTGTTTAATGCTCTAGTCATAATCCCAGGTTTTATGATGGTTTTCTAATGATTTTCTAATGATGTTAAATATTAGTAGAGAGCGCAGCCATAATTTGAACGCAGCAGTCATTTTTCGCGACGCTCTATCACTGTGCCCGATTGCAACGGCAATGGATATTGCGGCGGAGAATGAGATTTAAGGGCCATCCCTTTTGGTGTTTTATTTTTCGCCGTCTCCCCGTCTGCCATAAATCCTCATCAAGCGCTCTCACTCTTCTCGTTCGCTGGCAGCCTCCGCCCTCGCCCGCGCTCTCACCTCGCCAGGTGGGAATAGAATTCTGTACGGGGGACGTTTTATTCGGCGCCGACGCTCGTCCAGCAGGCGCTGTTATCGAATAAATAAATAAATAAATAAATAAGTATCCGTTTAAAAACACATAAATAAATAAATAAACTTTCTCTAAGACATGCTCGAGCTCTGGCGGAGCAAACACCTTATTAGCAAACTCCCGAAATTACAAACACACACACACACACACACACACACAAAACAGAGCCCTGGATAAGGATGGAATGAAGGGAGTATGATGGAGCGAAATGAAAAGGATGTACTAGAGGAAATAAAAAATACACTTCAATAACAAGCTTTCGTCTGTCTGGGGAAGTGGTTAAGACGTTAAGACTTCTGATCGGAAGGTCGCGAGTTCAGATCCCAGCACCGCCAAGCTACCACTCTTGGGCCCTTGAGCTAGGCCCTTAACTGCTCGGTTGTATAAATGAGATCACCGTAAGTCGCTCTGGATACTCCGAATGCTGTAATGTCATGTCTAGTTCGTGTGATATTGAGTCCACGTCTCGGCTGACAGGATGACAGTCTTCTGCTGTTCCACCACAAGGTCTGACGTGTCGTGAGATGCTTTTCTGCTCGCCACGGTTGTACAGAGTGAAAAGACCAGTCTGGCCTTCCTCCTCTGACCTCTTCCATCAACATGGTGGTTTTGTTCTCTCTGCTCCGCGGTTCATGAAGTACTCGAACCACCAACAAACAACGCCACGGTCGAAGTCACTGAGATCTGACGTTAGATTTTTCATAGATTCTGATGTTTAAGGGCAACGTAAAGTTCATGGTCCTGCATCTGCAGTACGTTATGCGTTGCACCGCCTAAACGAGCACGAGCTCGGGTGTTCCTATTAAACTGGCCGTCGCGTGTACAAATATATATCGCAGACAAAGCCTTTGTCTCCTTCCAGGGCCAGGGTCTCTTCAATGAATTACTCTGAACTAGCTGCCCCCGCCCCCCTCCCTCCTCACCCTCCTGCCCAGCTTTTTAATTAAATGGCCGCCGCTCCATCTCTCTATCCGTAGCTCCCCATTACAGAGGCTAGATAAGGGATTGCTATCTGTAGCATGTTAAGAAAGACTGCTGGGCAGTCAAGCCTCATGAAATTTGTCACAAGATCTCATTTTCCTCATTGCCAGACGTGATGCTTATAATTGATGCGGAGGCAGTAGTAATTTATTGGCCTTCTACAATTATCATCCGCTGCAAGCAGGGGGATGTGACTGCAATTTAGATGGTGGACTGGAGGGTGCCGGTGGAGGGCGGCTACCGGGGGTTTCGAGATTTTTCATCCCGGTGTGTGTGTGTGTGTGTGTGTGTCTGCGGGAAGTGGGGGGGGATTAATTGCATTAATTGAATTTAATTCTTCTTCTCAGTCAAATGCTTCAAATGATCTTTTTTTTCTTTTCTTTTTTTTATTCGCCCATGCACATTAGTCGCAGGAATATATCATGTACTGAGATCCAGCGTGGGATTGGAGACGAGGTACAGCTGGACGCTCAGACACCCAGCAGGGAGTCCTGAGGTCCAAGAAGGTCAAAAGTGCAGATGCAGGGTGGATGTAGAAGTCGTGGAAGAGTCTGTCGGATCCATTCCGACAGATCTTGTGAGAAAGATCACACCAGGAAGCAGATCCTCGTATAATCAGCAGTGAGATGCAGAGAAATGCGTTACGTTCCAAAAAAAAAACAACACAAAAAACAGAGACATGACATTAACACCTGTACGCTTAGAAATAAAGGTACTATTCCTTGTCGCTAAACTGGTACCATCCCGCGAACATCGTTCGAACCTCTGCGAGGTCTCTCTCCACCTTTTAAAAACAACTTGACATACATAAAACTAATTAAAAGGCACAGGTTCGTCTCAGGATTAACGGTACCAAATGGGTACGTTTCCTTTTCGCTGATGCGGGACCTTTTAGTGGGTGTCTATTCAAACAATTTAACCTGCGTAATTAGACATATGTATGTTTACAGCTCGGCTCTCGACAAGCTTCAGGCGAGCGTTCCCAGGTAAAAGATATATACTAAAGGTACTCGATGGTTCCACCCCGGCAACAAGGACAAGTCCTGTTTGGGACCTTTGTTCCTGAGAACGTAGTTTATCAAGTAATGTATGTTTTTAATGTATGTTAAATTACGTCTAAATGATACAAAACACATACGCCACATGACACGGTTACCATGTCAGCGAGAATGAGAAGTACCGGCTGGTACCTTGAAATCCGTATTCGCATATCGTGCTCAATCAAATCAAGGAGTGTCTTGTACACTCTCGGAAAGACGTATACGTAGTAAAGGTAAGAAAGGATGTACGCTTGATGGGAGCTTTCTTTCCGAGAGGGAATAGCAGTTTCATCAAGGACGTCGTTGCTGAAGCATCGCGGGGGCCATGTTTTGTACTTTTACACTTTTAAATAACGTAATCATTTAACGTAGATAAACGCTAGCGTGCTCAATCAGAGATATGACGGTCGGGGAACGCTGCTGTTCCTCGTGACTGGAACGCACGTTCGGTGGGCTTTTTCGTGCTAGGAGATAGACGATCATTGTGTGGGGTTTTTTATTTATTTATTTATTTATTTTTATTATTATTATCACTTATTTCTCTTTTTTTTTCCTTTTTTTTTTTAGCGCTTTAGTAAGTTATGTGTGTGTTCTAACGCCGTGTTCTGATTTTATTTTATTTTCAAGTTCACTAATTTTCCCCTAGCCTGGTCATAACATTAAACAAGAACTAAATAAATCCTCAAATTGCCAGCGTGGGCCAGGCAGCTGCTGCATTTAAAATAGGCGGTCATTAACACAAAAATATCATTAGTGAAGCAGAGACAGCACTTTAGAATACAATGAGTGGATATATGGGGCACGCGAGCTGTCTGGGGTAGGGATGGTTTTTCCTGAGCTCGTCTGTTCATTAGCGTGTGTGTGTGTGTGTGTGTGTGTGTGTGTGTGTGTGCACGTGTGTCTATATTTTAGTCCTTTTCTTTGTCCTTTCAGTAGACCCTTCATTTGTATCGACATACAGAATATAGTGTGCATTAACAGCAACTCAATACTGGCTATTCAACTGAATCTGCTGAAATGAACTCATTTTAATGACTGTTTCGCAGCTAGTTTCATTTAATAGAGTCACAAGCAGATTTACAGCTAGTTTTTGGATACCCCCGAGGCTCTAAGCTGTTGTTTGTACACACAGAGTTTATATATATATATATTTATATATATATATTTTATCCTGCCATTTTATTGTCCGT